GGGAGGGAGGGAGGGAGGGGGGGGGGCTGGGGAGTGAGGCTCAAAAGAGCTGCACAAACCAGTCCAGGTGCTGGCCCGCCCCACTTCTCTGGTGAGCTTCTTGTCGAAGTTGGGCCGGACCGGGAGACCGGAGATACTTTCAGCGACTGTGATCTGGGTTCGATTTCGTGGTTTCAGTCTGCAAGGTTGAAGGCAGCGTGAATCATGCCTGCTGGTCCAGTCCTAACTATGGGAACCGTAGGTTAAAGATTTGTTACTACATTGCGATGGTTAGTACTGCCGTCAGGAGGCTAAAGACTTAGAGGCTATCTGCTCGACTCCCCAGCATCGCCATCAGACTTACGCAAAAGCCTAATCGTGGCTACGATCGCGCTGGCTATGTTCGGTTCACTGGCCAGTGTCTGCACCTCCGTGGGTCCTGAAACCCAGCCTAAAACCTTGAGAAGTAGGGTCTTGCCAAGNNAAGGCCCTATTTTAAACCCTAAACCCTGTAGGTCCTACTTCCCGAGAAGCGCGATCGAGGAACGCGTAAAGTAACGGGTCCTTTCATTTTCTCTTTGGGGGCGCTGTTGCTGAGTAGTTCACATGGAGGGGAGACAATTGGATTGGATGGCTTCGAGGATGGCGTGACGGTGAAACCCTAAACCCAAACCCCAAACCCCTGCTTTCGTCAGGGACCGCGAGGGGGCGGAGTTCTAGTCGAGCTTGAGGCTTCCAATCAGGAAGCTACTTATCCTGTCTGTTTCCTCTTAATATGTGCCCTTAACCGTTAACCTTCAACCTAAACGGCCCTAAACCCTAAATAAACCCCTAAACCGTTTTAATAGGGATTCGGGCCGTCTATAGGGTTGAGGAATGCCCTGGATCTGGAGGCAAGTGATCTTTTTCCTCCTGCAGCTGTGCATCGAGGCAGGCCTTGGAATCGATCGTGACTAGCACTGCCTGGACCCTAAAGAGCCTACCTTTTTAGGGTCCCTTATTATGAATTCTTTATACAAGTCCTTAAACAGGTAGGTTATTTGGGGTTCAGGTGATCATTATGAAGGAGGTCATGTGTGTTTAGGGCTTGATTCGGGTCCAGGGCTCAGGGTTCAGGATCTAATGAGGGTGCCGGATCTATCTGGGCCGGCTAGTTACCGAGCCTAGCTCTCTTCGCCGATGGAACTCTGCTGTCAGAACTTGCCTCCCGCAAGAGGCGGATCAACTCCGAGTTGCCGGTCCGATCTGCAAACCACATAGGGGTCACCCCGTTTCTCCCGGACTTTCCCGGGTCCACCCTGCACTCAAGCAACCGTCGCACCACCTCCAAGTGGCCCTTCTGGCACGCGAGCATCAACGGGGTCGCGCCATCGTCTCGGGCCTTGTCGACATCAGCCCTGGCCTCGAGCAGGAGGCCTGCAATGGCCAAGCGGCCGTGTAAGCAAGCCAAGAGCAGCGGGGTTTCTCCATGGATTTCGGCCTTGCCCACATCGGCCCTTGCCGAAAGTAAGAGCTCTGCCATCTCTACATGTCCGTCCTGGCTGGCAAGCAGCAAGGGTGTCACATCGTTATGGTCGGCCTTGCCCGGATCAACACGAGCTTCCAACAGAAGACGCGCAGCCTCCAAGTGGCCACTTTGAGACGCAATGAGCAATGGTGTCACCTGTTTGTTGCTGGCCTTGCCCGCGTCTGCACCGGCTGCTAGCAGGAGGCGCACGACCTCCGCGTAGCCGTTCTGGCAAGCCATGAACAATGGGGTGTGGCCAACATTTGTGGCTTGGTCAGTGTCCACTCTGGCCTCCAACAACAAGCTTACAACCTCGGTGTGGCCGTCCTGGCAAGCGTAGAGCAGCGGAGTCACATTGTTATTGTTGGCCGACGATGTGGCTCTGGCCTGGAACAAGAGTCGTACGACCTCTGAGTGGCCACTCTGACATGCGAGAGAGAGCGGGGTCGCGCCACCCGTGTCGGCCTCGCTTGTGTCAGCCTCAGCTTCCAGCAACAGTCGAGCGGCTTCCAGGTGGCCAAAACCACATGCGAGCCACAAAGGTCGCGGATAGCCCAAATCTGGATCCTGGGGCCTTTGGAGAAGATTCTCTACCGTTTCAGCCTTGCCCTTTGCTGCTGCATGCTTGAGTGCAGCCTCTTCTGCTTCGGTAGTTTGGCAGAAAGCCAGAAGAACGAGCTGCGCCTCGGTAGCGGCCAGCGCCTCATTATCTTCAAGTAGAGTGCCGTCCGAAAGTACGAGCCGTTGCCGGAATCTTGGAAGTCCACAGAGGGTTTGCAGGTACCGCTTTAATGCTCGAATCGTGGGACTTTCAACGTCAGCTTGCTGCAAGCATGTCTCCACAAAGTTGTCCAGCGGCCGAGCGATAACTTCTTCACCCGACGCTTTCCGAATGCGCAACATCACAGAGGGCCTTGCAAGTCCCACTGAGAAGCCTTGATTGCTTTAAAGCAGCTGCAAAACTTCACCTGCATGAGACTGCGATTCTTTCCCTGGTTGGCCCTAAACCAACGAAACGTCCAGAAATGGCAGGTGAACATAGCAGGCAAAAGACGTGACCACTTCACAACAAAGCACCGTTTAAGTGCACAGAACAAAGTTCCCACACACAAGCCGGCCGGCACGGCAGGTGAATGCATCTGCAGATACATGTGCAGTGTAGCCACCGGGGCGCAAGACATGACATACGCACATGCCATTCAAATTCCGCTATCCACCTTCCGTGGAAGTGTCAAAGCTGTTTCTACTTATATGGCTACATCGGCTATACTAAAGCCTTGTTGAAATCGTCACCGCCGGAGGAATCCGAGAATAGCCAGAACAGACTCTCGTTGCGAGTTTTCCTACACTGGCTCGTGAGCTTTTTTAACCTACCTGTACGGGACAGATTAATCAGGAGTTCAGAGTTCTCGCACGCCCTTTTGTGACACATCGTCTTGCTTGCGTAGGTCTCGCTCTCGCAGTGAAGTCGCAAAACTTCAGCAGGCGCTGATGTGTCAGGAGGCAAGAGGTGGTGGGCTTCTCAACACCCAGGAATAGCCTGAGATGATCACCCCAGCTCACAGGCAAGTAGTCCCCACCTCTCAACTAGCTGACGATCTCACCGAAAGATAGTGGCTATGAGCCCGGACACGGCAGAATCTTCATGACACTTGCCAACCACTTATCTGCACGCACCTACCCCGGAATCCCAAGCCCTAAACCCAATGTAAACCCTAAACCCCAAAACCCTAAACCCCTAAACCCTAAACCCCAAACCGCCCTAAACCCTAAACCCGAAACTGCGCCGAAGATGGGGCAGGCAGCACACGTTGGCACCGTAATCCTTCTGGAAGACTCCAGGCTTCTGCAGCTCCTTTTCGCGCTTGTCCTGAAAGGCATACAGAAGAGCTGTGTAATATAGGGGCCTCAATAATTACCTATATTATTTTGGTGGCTCCTTATTATAATTTTAACATAAAGGACCCCAAACCGCTATTCTAATTGTTGAAGCCACTATATTAAACGTGGCCACCCTATTCTAATCATTAAAGCCCCTATATTAAACGTGGCCTCTGGCTTTTTGCTGAAAGTCCATCGCAAAAACTCCCGCTCTGCCCTAGCTACAGGTTGTCTTGATGCGTGTCTTCGAAAGCAGGGCTGACGAGGCGCCGAGGTCGGGGACGACCGATGCTTTATTCTGATGCTTGTGGGCCGAGCGAGCTGAAACACTGAACGGAGGGGGCTGGAGGGTGACAGGCTCGAGCGCACACAAGAAGAGAAGATAAGCCTGACCATAAAGGACAGCTATGTCGGCATCAACCTTTGAATCGTCATCCAGACAGTTATAAGTCGAAACACTGCGATGGAGTTGACATTGGTGATGCTGATACTGACGATGAGGTGGAGACTTGGAGTGATGTGACTCAGGATAAGCTAAAATGTTGAAGCTGCCTTGGCGATCGGTTAAGCCATCTTGGTCGCAGCAGTTTGCGATGCTGCCGATATTTCAGCTGCTTCGGCTTCGGCAGCAGCTGCTTCTTGGAAATGCTCATAGCAACTTCGAGCACGATTCTTTTTCAAATGGGTCTTGTCCTTGAAGGAAAGGTGGTCAAGACGCCTGTCCATGACGATGACCAGCGCCTCAGCTTCAACTTTGCCTGTGTCTGGTATTAAAACGGACACTTCCCTGGCTTACGTGTCTCAGATGTTGCCAGGATTTTCACAATGCTAAATTCTCAACCGAAAACACGCAAGACGAACACGAACAAACATTACAAACCTGGGCACAAGGCCAACAGCGGCCCAATACAGACTTCGAAGCCAGGCACGAAGTCCTATAACACCCCTTTTGCCCAAACCCTACACCTACTACAAACCCTACACTTACTAAACAGCATACCTCAAACCCCAAACGCTTGAACCCTACACCTTGCCCTGCACCCTCTTGAGCCTCCCCCACTTCGGCTCCCCTTGATCAAGAGCTTATACAGAACCCCATAAGCTCCCTTCTAGGAACCCTTAGAGATCCCTCATCGGCCCCTTTTAAAGCGCAAACAAAGCAACCAGAACTATTTGCACCCCTTTAAAAGCGCAAAAAAAAAACAAACATACGGGTAGTTCTCTAAATTGGGGTCCCTTTTTAGGTCCCCAATACAGTACGGCACCCTTATGAAAAGGATCCTAAAAGGGACCCTAATTAAAACAAAACCCAAACATATCCAACAAGACGAAGGCCCGGCACCTGAGACCTCGATCCCGGCAGAAAAGTCGAACGCTGGTTGAAGGCCATCCGAAGACGATCAAAGAAGCTCGCCGAAGCGAAGTTCCTTGTGGGCTGACCCTAAACCCTAAACCCTGAACCCTGAACCCTGCAGCCTAAGCCCTAAGCTCGGTTTCAGGAGATCAGGATCTTTTGTTTGGCAGCTTGGGGTTTTAAGGGCTTTCCCTCTAAGGGATTTAGGGTCCAGGGGCTTTTAACCTCCTGTCACTGCTATGATGGTGGTGGCTTATGGCTTGGGGTTTAGGCTTTGCGGGGTACATCTAGAGTTTTATGACCATGCTGGTGATTTCGTGCTACTTCGTCTTGCCGTCAGATTCTCAATAGTATTATTTGCCGTCATGTGTATCCATAGGCCCTAAAGTAGTTCCTTTTGGGGGTTACCATATAGGATTCTATATATGAACGCCAAAAAGGAACTACTTTAGGGTCTATGGGTCCTTTCTTATCGTTTCGAAGGGGCGTGCTGTTGTCAGGGCTTCGAGCCCAAAACCGAAACCTGGAAGTCACCCGGCAAAAGCCACGGCTGTAGGCACCCCGAGACTCCTGAACACAAACCCAAAGAAACTACCCATAGGCCCTAAAGTAGTTCCTGTTTGGGGTTCATACTTAGGGCCTATGGGTACTGAGGAGCCGGAGAGTGCCTCTGTAAACCCTATAACCCCTAGAAACGTAGGGTAGGGCAAGGCGGGGTAGGGTTGAGGGTTCATCGGGTTTTAGAGGGGTCTGCATCCGACCTTGCTCGGGGTCGAAGTTGCAAGTGCCCAATTTACCAACCTGGCCGTGATTCTTCGAGGTTGTAGGGTTTATTGCACTGGCCTTACTGATAAGAATAGGGTTTGGGGGCATACTATACTAGAATCGAACAAGGAACCGCAACGAATAGTTATTACGGTTTCCCCCAAGTTGTTCCAAAGTCTTGCTGTCCAATTTCTGTGGAGCTGAAAGCTAGCCTTTGTTAATTTCTACTTTTTCGGCTGCAATAGGAAGCTTCCCCTAGCCGGTCGTGGTTAGGAGAATTGCATGGCGACCTCAAGCACGTTGCGCTCTATTGCCCGGAAGTACGCGCGGTGCTCCGCCCAGTCAGTGCGCTCCTCGAGGCCATGCAGGAGGACCGCACTTGGTGGCGACGTCAGATTCAAGCCGCGGTCCGTCGCTACAAGGATCTCGAGAGGGAAGCAGTGAGTTCCCCAGGACTTTCTGTCAGGGCCCCTGTCGATGATGCGCCGCCTGCCGAACATTTTGCCTGCCCCTTGTGATCCGCACAGTTCGTGTTGCGCAAACACCCGGAAGTGCACATGGCCCGCAGGCATGCCTTGGTTGCCCCTGCCCGACTCTACACTCCGCAGCCGGCGTGCATTGCTTGTTTGCGGATTTTCCACACCTTGCCACGCACGCAGCAGCACCTGAAAAGTGCCAAGACTTGGCTGCGAGCTTGCGATCTTATTATGTCGCCTATGACTTTGGCGGAGGTCCGGGCTGCTGCCGCTGCGGACAAAGCCAACTTGAAAGTTGCGCACAGGGAGTTGGCAGCGTTGCACTGCAACCAGAGAGCCCACTCGGTATAGGAACCTTTCCTTTTGGCACCAACGCATACTTGCGAGTCTTTGCCGCTACGGTTTTGTTTGCACACATCGGAGAGACGGCTTTTCCTCTGCCAGGCACATCTCTCCGCGTGCTGCGTGGCTGGCGACGGCCGGATTTCTGCGCCGGGCGGCCAAAGGCAATCCGAGTGCAATACTGCTCTCGGGGCTACTCTCCTTTCGAACTCAATGCGTGAATTTTGAGACGCATCTGCGGACTCTGTCGTCTGACGAAGAAGAAGACTCACTCTGCTGCTGAGAGCTGTTAGGATCGAATCTCCAGGCCTTGCGTTAGGATCTCAGGGCCCTGGAGAATTCGTGCACTTAAAACTCGTAACATGGAGAGCTTCAAGAATTGGAATAGGAATTGGAGGTTGGTAGACTTGTAAAGTAAAAATCATATATATATATATACATAGAGAGAGAGAGAGAGCTATATATATATATATATAGAGAGAGAGAGAGAGATACATATATATATATATATATATATAGAGGGAGAGAGAGAGAGAGGGAGAGAGAGAGAGAGAGGGAGAGAGATGGGCTGAAAGGGAATGATTTAGGCTCGCCCTGTGAGGAAGCAGGCCTTGAAGTTACCGAACTGCACTTGCGAGGGTCTTGCAATCATGGCTTTCGGCTTCCGTCCCAGCGGCGCGACAACATCGGCTAGCACTTGTTTCCTGCTCCTGCACCCCCAGCTTGACAGAAGATTGCAACGACGACATCCAAGATGACAAGATTGATCGAACAATGGGAATACTCCGAGACCACCACAACCCCCTCAGCCCCCACCAACACACACAAACACAGAAAGCAGCCGAGGCCTAAAGCTGTACTAGGCTTCAAAAGGGCTGCTGAGGTTCAGGGCCGACTTTGTTCTGTCTTGCGCTAAGTTACAGTTAAAGGTTTACAACCAGGGACAAGGCGCATGGCCCAGCCGAGAAGGACGACATCGGCGGTGAAGGTGCAGTCCTCCAGAAGCATATCCTGAGTCGGGTGCTGTTGTGTTGTTCTCTCTTTTGCTCTTGTTTTAAATATCATCATCAGTTAATTATAACGAAACTTGCTACTCTTATGGTTATGACTGGCATGACTGTTATATACTGTTCTGCTTATTCATGAGAACTATAACTAGTATTATGATTATTGCAACGCTGTCGTGCTTCGGATTGTGGTTGTTCTTTTGTGGTGATTATTCGGTTTATGGTTTGAGGTTCGCCAAACACGAACTGAACACCTTGAAACGCGCTTCATCCTTGTGTGCTCTGGTGTGTGGTGCCTGTATGGGCATTAGAGGAACAGCTCGGGCCTGATCCTGTCTGAACCTGGGCACCGGAGCTAGCACTGCAATGGGGGGTTAAAGTATTGTCTTTAGTGCTTGACAGGGTCAGGGAGGTTCAGGCTCATGCTTGAAAGTCTTGCAGCTTGCTGCGGACAAATAGGAATGCAGAAGGCCCACTGGCATTCGGCTCGCTCTACTTTCGGTCCTATATGTGCCCGGTGTGCTAAGTGCCGGTTATGTTCATTCAATCAAACTTGCCGCTAAGCGGAAGAGTGTCCGACAAGCTGGCACAGGGCCGAAACTGCAGCCCCAGCAGCTTGTGGCACCATGACCACCTAGGTCAGTCGCCGGCGGAAGTTTGGGGCACAACGATGCTTTAATTACTCAGGGACATGTTTGATCTTTGCTCAGCCATCCAATCGCCGCTACGACAGCGCACTCGCTTGTCCACCTAACAGCCCTGCATAGAAGACTACGTATATATATATATATATATATACTGTTAGAATAGGGTGCTGGCTATATTGCAGTATAAATTGACAAGGACTCAAACTAAGGAATAAAGAATAACTACTTATTCGATCCCTACAAAATTTTTGTACCCAGGCACTCCTCGACAGGGTCTGCAACGGTTGCCTCGACAGCGCAGCACCCCATGCTGCCAGTAAAGAAGCGCCAGGCGCCTGCAGCGCAACATCCTGGACCCCCAGCCAAATCCACGATCTTCACCTGTGGGTCCTGGAGGATGCAGTCGAAAAACTGGCGAAGGTCTTGCAGAACTTGATCCTGTGCATCTTCAGGATCGGGCGCCTTCTCCGACAGCCTAGGTTCTGGTTAATTAGTGAGTATTGAAGTTCAATTGCCACAGGAAGGAGACCATCTGATTCAGACCATAAACATCCGGATTTTTGGTAACTTTAGCTCCATAACAAGATCCCAGCAGCTGCCTCAAGCGTCCCAGTTCGGCCTCGGTGGCGTTCGCCCTCGCCTTGAAATACTCCTGTCCACAGCTTCCACAGCGCAGCGGGCAGCCGTCTTCAAACAAACTCCACCAACTAGAATATACGATGACACACAATAAAACTATATACTGTAATATACTATAACATGCCATAGCTGACTTACTATGATATACCATAATGCAATATGACTTCATGGTTTAGGGCCTTTTAGGGGTATTTCGGGGCTGGGATCTGAATTCGTCGGACCTGGATGTAAGCCACTTGCAACCTGTGCTGCCGGTAGATGGCGGCAGGCCATACCCGTCCCACCTGATTGCCAGGCTGGCAGAAACCCTGCTTTATGGTTTAGGGTTCCCCTAGACCCTAAACAAAACCCTAAACTCTGAACTCTAAGCCGTTCAACCATGTTTCACGCTAACTCCTGAACCCTGAATCCTAGAAGCCCTCAGCCAAAAAATCAGGATTACCGGCTTCCAGGCGCAGGGTGCGGACTACAAATGGTGTTGCTTTAAATGGGTTCTGTAAGGATTTCTATAAGGGTTCATGAATTCAAGGACCTTAGTAACCTCAGTAATTGGAATAGGGTTTTTGGTGTCATATCACGGCAGAAGTATGCGAGGGAATAACATTACTAGTTACTCGGGCTTCTGCATAGCCCGTGACCCTTGACCAAAAAGTAAATTTGAGAATGCTGTTTCGATACCCCTAAACCCTAAACCCAGTAACCCTTCACCATAGAGGTCTGAAGTCTTACTTCTTGACACCGTCAACTCCAAAACATATCTGAGCCCCAGATTTCTCTCCAAATCTTACACCGTCCTAAACCCCTGCCTGAAAACCCTATGCCCCCAAATCGCTGAAACCTGAAACCCTAAGCAAATTACGAAGCCGGATCACAACAACTCCTAGTCCGATAATCCGCACTTCTGAAACTTCGCTCCGTGTCTGCAGCCCCTTGAAAAAGCAAAGTCCGGGTTACTTAACGGACTTAGCGATAAAGGGCACATCGGTGCAATTCATCGGTAGGGGCTTGGGACGTTACAAAACGGCACACAGAGTCCCCCGGATTTGACAGCTACACATCGCACTACGCCAGACCGTGAACCCCTTAACACCATAATCTCTACCAGGCCCAAAGAAACTTTGACCCGCAAAGCACGCCAAACAGCGCAGACCCGAACCCTACCACCTAAACTCCCCAAAGCATCCTAAATAGTGCACTTAAACCCAACCCAAAAAAAAACCCTAAACTCCCCAAAGCATCCTAAATAGTGCACTTAAACCCTAAACCCAAAAAACCCTAAACTCCCCAAAGCATCCTAAATAGTGCAGATCGGATTCCATACTCAAGGCAAACTCGCGGCCCCAGCTTTCGAGGCGGGCCATGAACTCCTCTGCGGAAAGTCCAGAAGGTTGAGACTAATTAAAGGATCTTAAAGGATCTATGGAGGCTAACTTAGGCTAACATTAATATAAAGAGTTCCTTGACAAAGACGTTTAGAGGCTGAACAAGGGCGTAATCTAGGGGCTTCGCTGCCTGCTTTTCAGTGTCAGGGTTTGGGATGTGGTGGTTTGGGCTTGCGGGGGTCGGGTGACTGTGTAGGGGGTTCGCATCTTTCTTGTCCAAAACTCAGAGAGTCATGGCTAATCCCGTTCTGCAGGGCCGAGGGCGTAAGCAAAGGTCTCATCTCGAAATACCAAGACCAAGTCTCAGAATTTGTGCACTCGAACATGTCCGCCGTCCAGAATCCAGCGCCATGACGGGCCTTGCGAGGTATGCAAGCGTGTTGAAAGGCTCCTTCTGTGGGTTTAGGGTTTAGGTTCATGGCGCCGCAAGTGGCGGTCTGCATGTCTTGGCTTGGGATACCCCTTACCAAGCCCTTTTTGAACGAGGTCTCTCTTAAGTGTCTCCCAGTTGCCCGCCTTACACGCAACAGATCGTGTGATTGGGCCGCAGGCCAGGACTGACAATTGCAGACTGTTTACAGCCTCCGTGCGACTTAAAGTTGAGAAACCTCATGCATGTTCGTCAAAAACGAGTGTGTGTGTGTGTGTGTGTGTGTGTGTCTGTGTCTGTGTGTCACACATATGAACATAAACACGCACACACGCACATACATACATATATATATATATACATATATATATATATATATATATTGTATATATCGAGATATCTATATACGTATGTACACACACACACACGTACGCGCACTTTCGGCTTGTGGGCCGAGAGGG